TTCTAGTCTTCAAATCCTTAAGGCATCTGCTCCAACAAATCTTAGCATACAAATATTTTCTTTTTAATCCTCTCTCTTCCCACTCATCGCTTAAAACCAATTTCCACCTGAAAAAATAGGTTTCTTAATATCCAGTTATTTATTCCGTAGGAAAAGAGGGAAAGCTATCCTTTCAGCACCTTCAAGCAGCCGCTTTTTTCCTCTTCTGGCAGGTATTATTCAGAAAGTCATACTTTTCAGGAATTTTATTAAATATGTCTTAGAGTCCTAGGAGCCAAGAAAAACTTTCTCCTCTCAATCACTTTCTCCACTTCCTCCTGCGCATTCTTACCCGGCTGCCAGCTTCTTTGTGGCGGCCATTACGGACCGCCGCTGCACCGTCCTGGGAAAAGGGGGTTCTGCCGGCCAGGGAGGGGGTCTGCAGCACCCCCAAACCCTTTTCCGGATCCCCCCTACCTTCAGCTGCCCCTGCAGGGCAGCCTAGCTCCGTACCCGGCTGGGTCGGAGCCCCAAAAACGGCTAGCGCGGCAGGGATCGCGCAGCTTCGCAAATCCCTGCCGCTCGCGAAGCCGACAAACCGGAAGTCTGTTTTCCTAGCTGCTCTTGCAAGAGGCGTGTGGGTGGTGGAATGAGGCTCATTGTTTCTCAAATTAGAAATAAGATTTCTTAATGCAATTTTACATTTCCCTCTCACCTAATCTCTCCAGTAAACCAGGTCAAACCAACTGATGAAGATAGGTAGGCAGGTAAACTTGCTTAAAAAATGGTCACAACCCTATTGGTAATTAAGTTTATCAAATTAAGCCATGACCTATATTTTACTTTTAGCTTTCCATTCCTCAATCATAGGAATAAATTAATTCATCTCTTAAAACAATACTTCCTTGCAGCTGATGAAATGCATTGCACTCCAGAAAACTCATAATATAGTAATTTCAGAAGCCTAAGGGGAACTCCATTGCCATCTAGCTCCATATTTGGAAACTGTTATATAAGTCATAACTGTGAATGCAAATATCTAATAAGCATTTCCTTTATCCCACCCTGCCAAAGAGTGTTTTGGAAATGGCCCAGCTTAATAAGAAAGTTCTTAACTTCCTTTCTACTATTTTTTTCTCTGGTAAATTGAAACCCACAAGAAGATATTGTAAAGGCCAATACATATTTGAAGGTTTTTCCAAGCATGCTCCAAGGGAGAAAGATACTACCCTGTTTCTCCAACAATACGGCCTTCCCCAATAGGAAGTCCCAGCATGTTTTATAGGCATGAAATGAAATTAAGCCCCTCCCCCCAAATTAAGGCCAACATTAAAACATGCGAAATGGGGGAATGGTGGGGGGGCTTGCCGTTAGGAAGTACTTTTGTTGCACACCCGGATATGGTGCTGCCTGCGTTGACCCTGATACGAAGAGCCCCACCAATGCCGAGGTCAACATCCAAGCCATTGCCGCCCGCCTGAAGATGCAAGGGGGGGAATTAAGTCACCCCCGAAAAGATGACCTAACCATTTTTTCGGGGCTCAAAAAAAAAATAAGACCCGGTCTTATTATATGAGAAACACAGTATTTTGAGTAGCAAGTAGCCTGAACCCAATCTTCTGGAGGATTATAACAGGATGTCCAGTGAAGTGATCATGTCACTTGAACAGACTGAAATGGATTTTCATCTTTGGCGTTTGCTATAGGAATTAAGAGTTCTATCAGGCATGATATTCCTCTCTGAAAAAAAAATCGGGGCCGGCCAAAAGAGACCCCGGGCCGCGAGCCAAGAAATCACACACACAACTCCAACGCTACACACCCCTCCTTTCCAGCCGGTCACGTGTGGATCAGCTCCAGAGCTGGGGGTGGGGCCAAGGCTGCCGCCCAAGGAGCGCCCACTGCTTTCCCTCGCCAGGGCTGGGCGGTGGCATGTTGCACGGAGAGACGGATGGTCCATGGCTGCCCAGCTCCCTTTTCCTGCCGCTCAGCGGCTTCCGCTCGCACCGCCCAGGCTCCGCTCAGGTGTCCGGCTGGGGCTGTCAGGAGTTGCTACCGCCGGCGTGGCTCCACGCGGCTCCAGTCCCACGTTGCCTCGTGAAGGAAAAGGCAAAACCAGGAGCTGCTGCGCCTGAGCCTCCGGTGCCGCTGCTGCTGTTGCAAAGCGCCGCTGTGGCTCTTCCTTTTTGCCTTTCCCTTCCCGAGGCAATGCGGGACTGGAGCCGCAGCGGCGGTAGCAACTCCTGACTCAGGGGGCCTCCGAGGGGAGGGGAAGGAGGAGAAGAAGGGGGGGTGGGCGATTCCCCCAAAAATTGGAATTCCGATTTTAATCGGAAGAATATCACGTCTGTTCTATGTCGAGTGGGAGGCAATTCCCTGTAAGCAACAAGAAACTGCCAAAATCATGGTGTCAGAATTCAGGTGTTGCAAATGTGTGTCAGGGATTGCATATCTCACTTGGAGTGCCCCTCCTATTCATTGAAAAAGCTCTGCTGAATCATGATACAGGAAGTTCTGATGTCTGATGAGTTTCAATTTGGCAAGGAAAGGACAATAGAAAGAAAAGTGCTACCATAATGCATTCATATCTCTAAGCTAGTGTTTCTCAATCTCAACAACTTTAAGACGTGTGGACTTCGATTCCCAGAATTCCCCAGCTAGCAATTCTGGGAGTTGAAGTCCACATATCTCAGGGTTGTCAAGGTTCAGAGACACTGGTGTAAGCTATAAAATGGTTGTCCAACCTTGACAACTTTTAAGACTTGTGGACTTCAACTTCCAGAATTCTCAGCCAACAATTTTTTTGACAAAGAAACATTTGTTTTGTTTTTAGGAAAGGTAAAAGTGAGTATTTCTGAATGAAAAAGATCCCTGGCTGTCTTATTTTGAAAGTAATTGGTTAATAGCGCTAGTTGTTGTTAGGTTATTTTTGGTTGCACTGTAGGATAATGGGAATATAACTTTTCTAGGTGAATTCACTGTTGAAAGGGATAATCCTTGATAATCCTATTATTTAATGGCAGAACTAATTTCTGTTTCAATATATGTGTGTGTGTGTGTATATGTGTATGGTATTCAGCTTTGTTCGGGTATTTTCCTATGTCATTATAGTTGTGCTTTTAAAGTTATAGCAACGTTTCGGCAGAATCTCATGTGCCATCAATAGGCTTCTGTATAGTGTTCGTCTGTGAGTCAGACTTTCACAGCCGTTTCTGTTTTAAATTTAGGGCTAGCCTACTGCTGTGCCAGAATGTTTTTTTCTTCATCCTGATTGGTTGGGAGTCTTGGTCTGTGTTTATTGGTCTTGGAGTTTGCTGTGTTCTGCTTGGTTGGTGTTTCTAATATCTTCTGTCTGTTTTGTGGCTTTTTTTGTCTTGATTGGCTGGCAACATTGTATTTCCTGTATTGGAGGCTTTTAGTGCGGCTTGGCTCTGAGTAAACGGACGGCTATCATTTATTAGGAAGCTGGGTTTCATCTGGGTGCCTGGTTGGGGTGTGTTTGCTACAACTTTAAAAGCACAACTATAATGACGTGGGAAAATACCCAAACAAAGCTGAATACCATACATACATACATACATACATACATACATACATACACACACACACACACACACATATATATATATATTACACATATATACATATATATATACACATACATATACATACATATACACATCTTTCCTTTGCATTGAGGATGTTACCTAGTTAGATAATAAAACATCTAAGAGAAAGCAATCAAGTTCAGAGAGTACCAAGAAGTCCACTATTTTGAAGGATAGCAAGCCCAGCTTAGATTTTACAAAACATATTCAACATCAAACCTCGTAGTTTTTGTACTTGGGGCATTGAATGGCATAGAAACTGAATAGACTAGAAATGAAGCCCTGTATTCTCCAAAGTCTGAAGAACCATCAGCTTTTCTAACCTTTTCCTATTGGAAAAGCAATTTCTTGACAGCAGGATTGCCCTTGAAGTGCTAGGTACTTGGCTTTCTCAGGATGGATGGGAGCAGTAAAATAGCAGAGGGATCCACTTATCTAAGAATAGTCCGTACACAGCTTGAAACCAACATGGCCAAAGCTAAAAAAAAATGATTTCAAGCCAATTAGTAGCAATTAAAACAGCTTAAGGTGACATGAAGAAAACATGCAAGTATACTAGCTTGCATTTTTTTTTGTGGGTATTTCAATCTAAAGTAAGGAGCATTTCGTATATGAGGGATTGTCTGATATCCACCTTCTGCCTTGGGCTTTGATCCTGATCATCTCTAACCAATTAAATTATTTGGGGGGGGGGGGGGGGGAGTTGTAATGGTAGTCAATGTCTAAATTGGAGCTGAGAAATTAGACAATTGAAGACTTTGTACTTTTTAAAGTTCCTCACATACATCTCACACATGTAAAGGGTGGGGGCCTGCCTGCCATTTTGTAACCTTTAATTGCCCCGTGGATGCCGCCCCCCTCCGCATGTGGGCAGGGGATGATGGGCCTACAGGGTGAGGGAACCGGGTCAGGGGATGCTAATGCAATCTACTGTCACTGAATATTGTTAAGCGCCTCTATTTGTGTGTGTGTGTGTGTGCACTCGCGCCTTTTGCGAATGTGGTTTGGCATCAAGAGAGATGAGCCGGAAAGATGGGGAAACCTCGAGAGAGGGGAACCGCTCTCACTGCTTTGCAGTCCTTTTGACAACTCCACGGCGTAGCTCCACAGTCCTCACCCTGCGGATGTTTTACAGATGTGCAATAACTGAGGCTGGAACCGCCATCTCGAATATGCTACGGGAACGGTTGGAATGGGGAGCCAGGAGACCTTTCCGGCGCCGAATAGGTTTTGCCTTTGGAAAGCTGGCAAGCCGCGTTGCTCCCGTTCCAAGGCGATTTCTCCACTCCGTTCCAGATCCGGAACCCCCTTCTCCAGCCAGCGAGGGGGCAGCGGGCTAACGAGGGGTCGGCTTCTCCCGCCGCTTCCTTCCCACTCACTCAGCCGCTTCGCCCGCGCTCTTTTTCCCACAGGGGCCCCGAAGGACCGACCGCGCAGCGTGAGACAAAATGCTCCTCCGGAGGACCCGCCGGGATGCCGCCTCCGCTGCCGCGCCGCGCTCTGCATTTGGCTGCGCTGGTGGGGCTCCTCCTTCTCCTCCTCCTCCTCTGCCCCCGAGCCCGGGTGAGTCAGCCGAACAGGGAGCGGGGCGGGCAGGCAGGCTTTGCGTGTTCGGGGAGGGGGCGGGTGAGCGAACGGCGAAAAAGGAGGGCGCTGCATGGGTGAGGTGGGGTGGGGGAAGACGCTTAATCTAAGTCAGGGGGTCTCCAACCTTGGCAACTTTAAGCCTGGAGGACTTCAACTCCCAGAATTCCCCAGCCAGCTTTGCTTTGGATTCTGGGAGTTGAAGTCCACAGGTCGTAAAGTTGCCATTGTGCCCCACCTGCCCTACTCCAATGATCCTGGAAGAATTTTGTTTATAAAGATTGGTGTAGGAAGTTAGCACCCACCCCTCTCCTAGAAAAATGAAATATCCTGGGAAATATTAATATTTCCCCGAAAAAGAGTAGAAACTCAGAAGCAGAAACTCACCTCAGCCCCCCCACCCCCCACCCCGCAACCTTTGCTAAGGGGCCATTGAGGCCTAGGCCAGAGTATTCTACATAATAAAGGCCTCTACCCATCTCACCACCTGGCCTGGGAAGATTGTATCAGCCAACACTCAGGTGAAGCCATGTGGTCTAGACAAAGCCTACAAAGTTAGTTAAGACCCTGGGAGTCTGACAGCCAAGGGGATACATTTCTTCCACAGGAACAGGAAACACGAAGGTGTGGCCCAACAGAGGGTATATAAAGGTTTCTCAGCATCTTGGCCCTTCCTTCTCTTTTCCTTCACCTTGAAGCATGTGATCATCCTTTTCACTTTGGAGCTCCAAGCCAAGTGGTCCTGTCCACCATTAAACCATCTTTCCAAACAGCCTTCATGTTTCCAGTGTCTTTTTTTTTTTTACAATTTTTTAAACAATAAAATTAATTTATTCTAAGAACCTGAAAAATGCAATGTGTGGAACAATTCAATTGCAAGTACTGGGATTTAAGAGTATATGCTATTATTATGGAACATTCCCATGTTTCCAGTATTTTTTCCCCACTTGGAACTGAATCCAGAAGGATGATACTTCCAACAATGGCTCATGGCAAAATTGGTGGATGGTTCTTTACCCTTTCCTTTCTTTCTTAAGAAACAGTGCTGCTGTTCATAATTTATCAAGTTAATGCCAACATTTTTGTGCATGTACAGCTCTAGAAACTTATTCCTTAGTAATAAAGTATATGGCGTGAATATAAAGATGTTATTCTCAAATATGTCTATTCATGAAATAAACAAGCTTCTTTAAATATTAGTTATGTAATTTTATTCATTGATGTTGGAAATGCACATAATATCATGGTTTCTTTCAAGTACTACAACATTATTTATACTGAGCACAGAGAAGGAAAATTATTTGTGTTCATCAGTCATATAAAAGTAATGTGTTTAAAAAGTAATATTGCATAGGAAAAATGTGCATTATTTATACACTTAACTACTCAATTTTGCTTTTCTTCAGCTGTTTCAAAGGGAAATAAACTTAGGCTGATGCTTCAGAGAAGAGAAGGTAAGCCTGTTGAAGATGACACAGCTTTTCTTAAATATTAATTGGAAAAAATAATTAAAAATGGATAACTGCATATTTCAGCCTGTCCAATTTCTTCCCTGTAATTTAAGAGAAAATGACTTGAGTTAAAAGAAGAAGAAGAAGAAATCCCTGGCATGTGTTTCCTGTACAACTCTTCCCATTATTTCATTAGATACTTCATTATATACTCAAATTTTTAAAAAAGAGGGGAGGGGGAAGAGAAAAAGAAACTTGGGAAATCAGTAATGTTCTTCCCTGTTATTTTAGTGACTCAAATTAAAAAAGAGAAAACCTTTCAGGATAAATACAAAGCTACCCATGAATGACTGAGCTAACAAAAGACTATAACAGCCTAAACTTTGCACAGTGGAGAGTATGGCTTTAGAACAATTTCAATGTTTTTTTTCATATAATCTGTAGATCTGGTCTTGAGAAGAGAGTAATGAACAATTATGAAGAATATTTGTGGCTCCGGGTTGGGATTTGGGGTGTTAGTATTCACTGTTCTTGTTTTTCTTCTCTCTCTCTCTTGAAAATGTTTCATGGCCAAACAAGGCAACATCATCAGTGCTGCATCTAGCAAATCAAGATGTAGATAAGAAAGAGCCAAGACAATAGCCAGGAACAATCTAAAATGAAATAATCCAGCACAGTAGATCAGTCAGAAACAAGCTCACAAACTATAACAACCCTGTGGACAATCTGCCATGCAAAAAAAGCCAACAAATATTATTTCCTGCATCAAAACACTGGCAATGTTACTTAGTTTGATAATAAAACATTTGCAAAAAGAAACCCAAGCTTCATGAACATCAAGATCTGAATAGAGCAGTGAACCTTAAGCTGGGAGAAACAGCAGTTCAGTGCTGCCCAAATAGAAAGTGCAGAAAGTAACTCAATAACTCACCTTGATTTTGTCTGGTGTACAGGGCGTTGTTGATTTATGACCATGGAATCTGCCTACTACAATCATAAGTTTTGATGGTCTTAAAGTGGGTCACCCATGTGACATCTGATTTTACAACCATTTCTGTGGGGGTTGTAAAATGAACACTGCAATTATAAGGATATTTTTTTCATTATGGGCAGAAAATACTGGTTTATAGCAAAAAGTCACGAAACCAGCCACATGATCATGGGATGCTGGAAACAGCTTTAAATGTATGAGGATGGGCAGCTGTTGAAACTTTGGAACCAGGTTGTAAGTACCCCTAGCAAAGTCCATTGTACTTTTCAATTATCACTAAGCAATTAAGCGTGCATAAGCACACAATCGTGCCTACTGTCTCTGTCCTATTGTCCCCAATTATTAGTTCCTATTTCTTGTATTAAACTTATGTTTATTCTTGTTTCTGTTATATTGTAAGCTTTTGACAAATAAAATAAATAAAATAAATTGTCATAAGTTAAAGACTTCCTATAAGATGGGGCAAAGAGAACCTCTGACAAGCTTTCAAGACTCTGTTTCTGTAACAGTAAAGAGCTCTCTTAGATCCCTGTTGCTTCTGTTTCTTGACCTGGTCTACCTCAAAGGACTATCATCAGTTAACAGTTGATCAGCATGTTCCTTGGGCAAAATAGAAGCAACTGGAAAGAGTATGAAGACCTTTATGGTTTACTTGTGGAACCCCACTGATTAGCAGTTAATTGCTTGATAGCTGACTGGCAAGATTTGAAATATAGTTAGACATGTGTATAGTTAGCCATTTGAAAAAATATAAACCATCCAGAGGCCAAGACTAGCCAACACCTGATCTATCTTTTAGGTGGGCTTGGGCAAGTGAGTTGATGTATCAGAAGCTCATCTGCTCAGGAGCTGCACAACAGTAATGATCATGCAAAATTCCCATTCTCAACTCACCTTATAGCACAGGTTTGGGGCCTGAAAGACCTCCTGTACCACCCTGGAAACCAAAACGGGGCATGGGGAGCTGTGCGATGCACCCCTGCACCCTATTTTGGGCCTGGACCAGAGGTGGTATTCAGCAGGTTCTGACCAGTTCTGGAGAACTGATAGCAGAAATTTTGAGTAGTTTGGAGAACCGGCAAATACCACCTCTGACTAGAGATTTTACAGTATCCTTCCCTTGCCAAGCCCACCAAGCCACGCGCACAGAATGGGTAGTAAAAAAATGTGAATTGCCACCACTGGCCTGCACCAACATGGAAGCCAAAATGGGAAGCATGGGGGGGATGACCCCTGGGAGGGGTGAGGCGAGGTGGATGGGGCCAGCCAGAGGTGGGATTAGCTAGTTCTCCAATCTGGGCAAAACAACCGGTTTGTCTGAACTAGTGCAAACCGGCTGAATCCCACCTCTGCTTCCTCCATAATCTCTGTTCTCCTTGCGTTTGGATGGTGAATTTAATCTTTTCCTATTTTGGAGGCAGTTGCCCTTCCCCATTTCCACAGATCATCTGCTTTGTGGATTTGTTTTAATGATCTCCTCCTTCAAGATTCAGACAAAGTAAAACATTTTAGTGTCCTTAACTAGAATTAATCATCCTACAATATGTGGTCACATGGTCAAACTTCGGGAGCTTGGCAATCGGCATGTATTCACATTGATTGCAGGTTCCAAGTCATGTGATTGTTGTTTGCTGTCTTTCCAGCCACATTCTGACAAAATTCTGGAAATTTTGGTCCCAAATGGTCACAAGTCAAGAAATATCTGAACATGCACCTGTTTCCTACCTTTTCTCCAACTCAGTAGAAATATCATTTCAGGGACTGCGTTGTGCTGGTAACATAGGATATTATTTTTTAACAGTGATATTTTCTTCACCTATTGCATGGAGTATTCAACTGAGTATTCATATGTAGTCAACATATGATGGATGAAATATCTATAGCACTGTTGCCATTAATAGATTCACTGTTTTCGGTTTTTGCTTCAGCCCGTTCTGATGAAGGAAGAGATTCTGTTAAAGAAGATAAGGCCAAGGAATTCTTAAACAATCTGAAACTTCAGAAACGCCAGCCTTGGGACAGAAGTCAGCCTGATGTACAGCAGTGGTACCAGCACTTCCTCTATTTGGGTTTTGATGAAGCTGTAAGTGGCATATTGTGTTTTAACTTTCAATAATGAAGTTCAGTGATCTGAATTAACATTGTGGAAATCTTGTTGGATTCAGGATAATTGCCTAATGTTTTATTTTCTTTGAAATAAGCTTCATATTTCTGTTTTGTGTAGTTTTAGATATGAGAAGGAATTCAATTTAGTTTGAATCTTATAATTATATTCATTACAGTAGATATGGGAAACATGCCTTCTTTATAAGCGAAATCGTTCCTTATTATAAGTGAATTTGAGAAGGTGAATACTTGATAATAGCCACAGCAGGTCAAGGTTGATAACTGTTTCAGGAATCTACTCGAACTAATTTAACTTAATTCTGCGAAAAAATTTCCGGGAAAAAGCAGTTATTTAATGACATGAATGCACAGAAAACATTTCAACATTATGATTTTACTGAGGCAAAAATGGGACATTCAAACAAAACACATTTGTACCGGAGGTGGTATTCAGCAGGTTCTGACCAGTTCTGGAGAACCGGTAGCAGAAATTTTGAGTAGTTTGGAGAACCGGCAAATACCACCTCTGACTGGAGATTTTACAGTATCCTTCCCCCTGCCACGCCCATCAAACCACACCCACAGAGCCGGTAGTAAAAAAAATTGAATTCCAACAGTGATTTGTATCATGGATAAAGTATTTCATACTGCAAACAGCAACCTGGAATTATTATTATGTCCTCCTCCATCTCTGTGGTCAAGAATTGTCCTAGAAAGTGGAATTCCAATACTTTTCAGCATGGGAAGGTAATGAATAAATTTTTCATGCAAGGCAATTTACCTATCAAATTAAACCACTTTAATTTTGCATATAGTTGTGTGCGTGTGTTATTTGAATCTAAGATATAGTTGTTTTGGGAAGGAAAAAGCAGAGGAGCCATAGAAAAAAACCTGAATGACAATATGGCTTTGGTAGCAATTTGTTAGGAAGTCACCTGCTAAATTGTGAGAATAGAAAGGAATAAGGAAAAGTAGTGAAGTCTTATAAATTAGATGAACTATTTATTATAAACTGGAGACATTGTGCATATTGATGGTTACTTGAATGTTTATCAGGCTGTTTCAATACTTCAGAATTTGAAAAACCATATTCGAGCTCTTTAATTTTTATTTATATTAGGGTATACTAATATATTTTCTTTATTTCTGAAGATAAATACAGTAAATGTTACTTATAAAGAACACTGGAAAACTGATAAGTGGCTGAATTCTAGGTATAGATTCTCTCTCCAACCAGCATGTTTTTTTAAAACAATATAATAAGTGCTTAATGCAAAGGAAGCGAATTATATAATCTTTCAATGATTCATGGCCTTTTTTTCCTTGACTCACTCTTTATGACATTTTCCCCATTGCAGGAATGTTTGGGAAGCAAAGCCTTTTTTATTCTGAATATTTCTATAGAAAACAATTTCATTTGATACGAGTTTTGACTGAGAATTGGTGGTACTTATTAAAATGAAGTCATGTATTACTCAGATAAAGGCTTGCGATAGTAATTAGAGTGCTGAGTTTTAATAGAAGAAAGACAGGTTCAAGTGTTCATTGGCCCCAGATATCACCTCCAACCTACTCACTGTAGGTCCCTGAAAAGGGAAATGGGGGAGGGGGGGGACACTAAAAACGTCCTTAATGCCTTGCACTGGGATCCTTAAGACTTGCATTGGGATTCAAATACTGGTCATCCTCAACTTACAACCAATTGGGCCCAAAATTTCTCTTACCAAGGAAGACATTTAAGTGATTATTGTCCCATTTTATGACCATTTTTGCCCTTTTAAGTGAATCACTTCTTCTTGCGCCACATCCGTCATCGGACGTTGGCGATCATGCTGGCGATCCTATTTTTATTAACAGCCACACAAAAAAGTGCTCCCGAGTTTTGTCCAAACCAGTCCCTTAGATTCTGAAGCCATGATGTTCTTCTTCTGCCTGAATATCGTTTGCCTTCAATCTTTCCCTGGAGGATTAAGTGAAGTATGCCGTATTTTTCTGGGTGTCACATCACATGTCTGAAATATTCTAACTTTCGCTTTTTTGTGAATCACTGCAGTTGTTACATGGTTACATAGTCACATGGTTGTTAAGTGAATCTAGCTTCCTCATTAACTTTGCTTGTCAAAAGTTTGGAAAAGGTGATCACATGATCTTGGGACACTGCAACTGTCATAAATACATGCCAGTTGCCAAGCATCTGAATTTTGATCACAAGACCATGATGATGACTACAATGGTCTTAAAGTCACTTTTTTGAGTGCCGTTGTAATTTCGAACAGTAACTAAATGGATGGTGGAGGACTACCTGTATAGATTTTTAGGTCATTTTCATGTCATTGCTATTTATATTAGCCACATTTGCGACTGTCAGGGCTGCTGTGAGTATAAAATGAGATGAGGCCTTCATATATGTCAAATTTCCAGTAGCAATATTTAAACTAATATATATATATATATATATTAGTTTATATATATATATGTGTGTGTGTGTGTGTGTGTGTGTGTGTGTATGTGTATGTATATGTATATGTATGTATGTATGTGGATCTTTGGTTATTTGGGTTTTCTCCCGCGTAAGATTGGAAGTATCTAGGCAACGTTTCGATGAAGTCTCATTCATCATCTTCAGGCTTGTGTCTTCAGCTCTGTGCTTCTCAGAGTGATGTGAGCTTGCAGCTGCTTCTTCCTTTTAACTGCTAGTGGGGGTGTGACTTGATTGGGTGGGGGCTTGGTTGTGTTGTGATTGGGTGGGGGTGTGTTCTCATTGGTTGGGGGTTTGGCTGTGTTCTGATTGGTTGGGGGTGGCCGTGTTCTGATTGGCTGGAGGTGTGTTCTGTTCAGGTAGGGGCTTGGTTGTGCTCAGGTTAGTCTTAGTTGCTGGGGGATTTGAGCTGGTGAGCTGTGATCTTGCTGTTTGGCTTCGAGTTTGTGGTCGTGCCGCATCTTCATGGTGGGGGTCAGTTCGCTTCATGTATGGCTCGGAGGGGTTTGAAGTGGGTAGTGATGCAGTTGCAGTGCGGCTTCTGGTCCGTGGTCGTGTCTCATCTTCTGTGTGGGTATGAGTCTGCTTTTTACGTGGAAGTGTGGTGGTGGCATCTTGTGTGGCCCTCGTGGGTGTGGGTCTGGTGTCATTCTTCATGTTAGGTACTTGTCTGTTCATGAGGGCGGGTTTCCAAATGGCTGGTAGGTGGGAGGTGTCGTCTCTTTTATTCATGCTGTGTGGGCGTTTTTCTATCTCTATGGCTTCTCTGATTATTCTGTTGTTGAAGTGTTCGGTTTTGGCGATAGTTCTGGTATTTTTAAAGTCAATCTCATGTCCTGTGGCTTTGAGTTGTTGGACCAGGGAAGAGGTCGGTTCTTCTTTTTTGATTGAGTTCTTATGTTCTTCAATGTGTGCACTTATTCTTCTGTTAGTTTGTCCAATGTATGTGGTGGGGCAGGCGGTGCAAGGGTTTTCTAACTCGATTTTGTCTTTAGGGTTTCTTAGGATGGTGGATATTTTTCTGTTTGTGCAGAATGCTGTTTTAATGTTGTGTTTTTGGAGGATCTTGCTGATTTTGTCTGTAGTGCCTTTTATATATGGGAGGAGGGCTTTGCCGTTCTCTTGTTCTCTGTCTTGGATTTTGGTTGGGGTTTCTTTTTGGATTAGGTGGGTAATCTTCTTTCTTTGGAATCCATTGGCTGTTAGTACGTTGGTGAGAGTGTGTAGTTCGGTTTTTAGGTGTTGTTTGTCGGCTAAGCATTTTGTTCTGGAGATGAGTGTCTCGGCTACGGAATTGATCTGTGCTGGGTGGTGGTGTGAGAGTGCGTGTAGATAGCGGTTTGTATGTGTTTTCTTCTGGTAGATGGTGTGTCCTAGGGAGCCATTGGATTTTTTGTATACCAAGACATCTAGGAAGGGAAGTTGATTGTTAGCTTCTGTTTCCATGGTGAATTGTATTTTGGGGTGTAGGCTGTTGAGGTGTGTGAGGAAGTTGTTCAGTTTTTCTTTCTCGTGGAAGAACACACCTCCACCCAATCAGAACACAGCCACCCCCCAACCAATCAGAACACAGCCAAACCCCCAACCAATGAGAACACACCCCCACCCAATCACAACACAGCCAAGCCCCCACCCAATCAAGTCACACCCCCACTAGCAGTTAAAAGGAAGAAGCAGCTGCAAGCTCACATCACTCTGAGAAGCACAGAGCTGAAGACACAAGCCTGAAGATGATGAATGAGACTTCATCGAAACTTTGCCTAGATACTTCCAATCTTACGCGGGAGAAAACCCGAATAACCAAAGATCCACATACAAATACCCACGAGAACCTCAGAAAACAAATTATATATATATATATATATGTGTGTGTGTGTGTGTGTGTGTGTGTGTGTGTATAAAGTGACCGTGACATCATGCTTATATGTTATATATCACATCATGGTTATATATGTGTGTGTGTGTGTGTGTGTGTGTGTGTGTATATATCTATATCTATATATATCTATATATCTATATATCTATATATCTATATATCTATATCTATATATCTATATCTATATCTATATCTATATCTATATCTATATCTATATCTATCTATCTATCTATCTATCTATATATATATATATATATATATATATATATATATATATACACATACACACACACACACATATATATATATATACACACACACACACACACACATATAACCATGATGTTATATATAACATATAAGCATGATGTCACGGTCACTTTATTGCTTCTGTCATACAAGCAGAAAAACAAGGTAGTTAACTATAGTTTCACCTGATAAATGTTGGTGAACAACTAATCAAGCCAGGATGCTGTTGTATTTTAAGCTCATATCAAAAATATTCACAAAATTGGTCAGGTAATACATAAATCTACTCAAGAACAGCAGAGTAAAAAAAACACTTTGTAAAATCCAAATGACTGTTACTATAATAATTTACACACCATCGTCAAGAAAGGAAAATAATTTATTTAAAAATATGTATATTAATCTGTAAAGTGCTGAAATACTACAATAAGCAATCATGTGTGCAGGAAATAAAGCTAAACACTGATAGCATAGCTTAAAATTGGAAGCAATAGTTTTATTTCATTAAATAGAATGGTATCAAGTTTCAAAGTTCAAGATAAAATTTGATTTACACTTTCAGCAACTCTGTATAGGTAGTCCTTGACTTATGGCCAGCACTTAGTGACTGTTTGACATTCAAGTGGCCTATCTGGAAGGCTCCTTACAACCCGGACTCAAGGTTTCAATGGTCACATGACCCAACTCTGGGTGCTTAGCAACCTGGCTACATTTATAGCTGTTTTCAGTGTCCCGTGGTCCCATGACCACATAACGGTTTTGCCAAAACCCACCATTTACTTCTGCTTTTCAGCAAACCTGTAAGTGAACCATTGGTTTGCTTAACAACTGTGGCATTCGGTTAATGAACTATTGTGATTCATTTAGCAATTGCTGCAGAAAAAGTTGTAAAATTGGGTTGGTCATGTCACCAACCCGCCTTAATGAGTTATGAATGTGATGGACAGGCTCCATTATGGACATGACTCAAGGACTACGTGTATTCTCCACCAAGAATGAATTATAAAAGCACACATGAAGAAATGGACTACTAATATTTTTAAAGCAGTTTAAGCAATTCATGTTAAATATTAAGCAGAATTTGGCAACCTTGAGAATTTCTATCTATTCTTGATATAAAATAAACTATATACAGTTCTATTGTATTCTTCATAGAAAGAGATGTTATATTAATGGAGCTGGGTGTTCCACTGACTCTGTTCCTTTTACTTTATAGCAGAGGTATGGCTCCTTTATGACTTGTGGACTTCAACTCCCAGAATTCCCATGGCTGGCAGTTGAAGTCCACAAGTCATAAAGGGCCCAGAGTTCCCACCTCTGTTTTATAAGGTCATGATGCCTCCAATGTGAGGATATTGCAAAGGGTCTCTTCCAGGAACTCAAAGAGTAGGCGGTAAAATCATGTTGGACAGAAAACTGTAAATTTTATAGGTGGTCTGTAAAAGTAGCAAAGGGCAGGTTTCTGAATTCTCTCATCTTACACCAACTTAAAGATAGGAAACAGCTCAGCTGTTTCTGGAGATTAACGTTAGCCACTTTCCCCTGATGAATGCTTTAGCCCTCTCAAATACCAATTGCTTGAATCTCTGAGCAGTTATACATAACCTCTTCATTTGCTTTTCTTTGTTTGATTTGAATCCATTCTGAAGTTAAAAGAAGCTAGGAAGTCCAAATACATTATTTTAAGTCAATAGTTTAAACACTAAATCCATGCGATGGTAATTCCTATTTCTAGGAGCAAGAAGGCACTGAAATGTAAATATGTTACTATATTTCACAATAAATGCAAGTCTTTTAGGTACGGATTTGAGATTCATACAATATTTAAACAATAACTTTCAAAGCTTTACTGCCCTAATATATTCTAGATTGTGGTCAGTTATTTAATTTGGATACTTCACTTCTACCTGCACTGAGAAGTAAATTGGACCTTGGAATTAATGGATTCTCTCAGCTATATGGTTTAGTTGCCAAAATCATCAATTCGCTTTTTAAATTAGAAGAATATGTTCCAGGATATATTACATAAGATGGTATACAGTACATTTACTGTACCATTTTGGATGAAAATATCTGATTAATATTGAAAGAAAAATATATTTCAATGCTTCTAAAGCATAGCATTTTTTATGAGCATATGGCTTCAGCAAATCTATAGTCACTTTTCCCCTTTTTCTGCAGAAATTTGAAGATTATGTCTCCTGCTGGTCAAACGTAGGCTGTGGTGGCCATGAATACGATGGTGGCTATTATCATCACCATTATGATGAAGATGCTCCTATTGGCCAACGAAATCCAGGCACCTTCAGACATGGAGCAAATGTCAATTATGATGATGATTATTAAGATTATTCTCTGTCTTAACTATTATTATTAATAACCGTTTCTTCTCTGTATTTCTATATTAATTCTTTCTTCTCTGTGCAAGGACACTAGAATTTTTTTAAAAATTGATTTTAATCTGGTTCTTAATTTTAGCTGATGGGATTGGGGGAAGAAACCAAGAAAAATGGGTCTTGCATATATTCCTTAACATATCTGCTTTAAAATTAAAGCTTTTTAAATACAAAATTTTAATTATGCATTCTTGTGAAAGACTTTCATTATGAAGACTAACTTTCTTTACTGAGACCAGTACAGCCATTTTATATTAATGTACAGCTTACAGCGAATAAAAACATAAAAATGAACAAGTGTCATACAATAACTTCCTATTACCCACCACAGGGCCATGATATCACCATACCAATTCTGCATTTTCCTCGATCCACTCCCATCTTAGCCCAATCATTGGGGAAGAGTCAGGGTTCATGGCCTGAAGGTTTAAGGCTAAAAGGATAATGGGTTTCCAGATCCCAGGGGGTCAAAAATGGAAAGCCACTGTCTTGCTAGGGTTGACTTGAAGTCACTCCTTCCCCATCCAGAACCTCCAGGCATTGGGTCAGCATCTGAACCTGTCCAGTCATGGGTGGAGGTATATAATTATCCTTTGAATATTGATGAAATTCTACTGCTAACTGACGTTACCCATGGGCTTTATTCGATATTAAATAGAAGTGATGAGAAACCAAGTCTTGAGATAAGTGTAGACTTTTCTTCCCCAATCCTTTTACTAACGACAGGAAGGAAAAACACTGTAAAACAGTGACTCCCACTTTCAACCTTCAAATCTAATCCAGAAGGTTGATGATACGAAAGGTTGCCAAGTGATCCAGAAGGGCCAGGGTGGATGCAACATCCCCATCTCAAGCTTTTCCCAACAAATGTGACCAATGCCATGTCAGTACTATAAAAAACTGACTGAAAAAGATAATACACTTCATCCAACACTCTCCAATGCTAAACACTCACCATTTTCTCAACAATCTTCTCCCAAATACTGCCACCTCCTGAGAAGCCTTAATCAACTAGGGAAGGAGAAGTGCTCAGATACATGACAAGGTCATAGAAACAAGGACCCTGTCTACTTTTGCAATATCAACTGGCTCAAACTCTCCCAACTAACAAAGTGAGTCATTTCCAAAGGACCTGCCCAACCATGTTTACTTCAGTAAAGCCAAGTACCTTTGTTTGACAGAGGCTCTACAGGGGCTCTCCTGACTATTCCTTACCAAGAAGGGGACCAGTCACCCAGAATAAAGCTATTGGTTGTCTGTATATAGATACAATAAGGGCAAAGAAGTGAGCTCATTTTGTCTTAATCAAGACTCCTTACTGTGCCTATTGGCTTGTATTCCTCCAGCAGTGCTCTTGTGCCATTACATCTCCTGAAGACCCTTGACAAACTATAAGGATCCAGAGGAGCCACAATCACAGAGGCCGCACAATCACACAGTGATTCAATCTTCTTAAATGTTCATTTCAGTTTGAAACGAAAGCCCTGGCTGAACCATGCACTAATATAATCTTTGTCCTCAAGGAAAAAATATAGTCCGGTGGCCTTTTTTGGTGGGGGGGGGGAGCACCTTTGAGACAACCATGATCTGGATGACGGAGAATCTCCATAGTTATACCTTCAGGAATAACCTCAAGTTCCCTTTGAAACCCATCAATTTCCCAAGGCCACCCAATTCAATAGATGGCTCTTCCCTGCAGTGGGGGCAGCTCATAGAGAACTACCAGGGTCAAGAAGGAATGGTTGTCCATGACAAAGAACTGATGATAACGTTCCCTATTCTCAACCTCAGATCATGTTGCCACTACCCCAAGACCTAATGATCTAATGGATGACCTTCTCTGTGAACTATCACTTTTGCTCCTTTAAAAACACTGAATTGTTTTCTCGTCACCAAAAGAGTTTCCTCCCTTGCTTTATAGTAAGCATTGTTGTAAAGACTTGGAGATATCACAAACAATTCTCTCTCCACACTGTTGTGATGGTGTGAACAGTGTAAACTGTCACTATGGTACTCCTTCAAGACAGCAGAAGTTGGCCGGCCATCTACACTCCCATGCATTTCAATTTTTTTGCAGTATTAAAACATGAAAAACTTGTAATAGGATTAAGACATTCCAAATCATTAAAGAAAACAGGATGCTGTTGTTTCTGTAGGAATGTGTAATTCAGGTATGTCAATATTAACAATAGTTAATTTTTGTGTGGAAGTGGCCTGATTCTTCGTTGTTTTTACTAAAAGTGGATTAGTACTGAAAATAGCAATATAATTTAATTATAGAACAGAAAAGAGAAGTTATTCATATTTCCTTGTCCTTCCCAGCATGATTTGTGCTCTCTAAGTTCCCCCATAACCCAGACCAGGTTTTGAGAGCAGACAGAAGATTTTGCATTCCATAGACGGGAGCAGAAGTCGTCCACTGAATTTTATCCATACAGGTAATCTTCAACGTACAAACACTCCTTTAGGAACCGCTTGAAATTACAACACAATCAAAAATGTGATTTAGAAACAGTCCCCACAGTCACAGCATCCCCATAGTCACAGGATTAAAATCTGGGCATTTGGCGACTGGCACAGGTTTACAATGATTGTAGCATCCTGGGATCATATGATCATCCCTTGTGACCTACCTAGCCGGTTTCTGACAAGTAAAGTCAATGGGAAAAGCTGGAATCACTGATTAATGGTTTGCTTAACAACTGTAAGTGATCTGCTTAACAACAGTGGCAGAAAAGGTCGTAAAATAGGGCATGGCTCACTTAACAACTATCTTGCTAATTGTGATGCCAATTGTGATCATAGGCTGAGGACTATCTGTATGTACCGACTTGATTTTTAATTTAACTCCAAAGGGTTATTTGTAATTGAATTGTATTCCTCAAAAGGTATGCTATCTAAAAACCCACATAATATTGTTTAAAAGAATCAGTTACTGATTCTACTAAGGCAGATGTTACATCAGTCTGCTATACCTGTATAATAATATGTCCACTACCACAGACTTGTTTTTTTTACTTAAATCTGTAAGGTTCAGTGTTTTATTAAAATAGCATATTCAACCACTGGTAGCCAATAATACATTAACTTTTGCCCAGAGTATGCACAATACAGTAGTGATTTAAAATAGCATTTATCAGTGGAAATAGTTCAAATTCAAGTGTGCAACTAGAACTAAATGTTGGGTGGGGGAGGAGAACAGATTTAAAGAATACATAAAACTCTTTTACAGATATTTTCTAAATGTCGGTATTCGTCATCTGACAATACTACTTTTTTTCCTTTATGCATAGTCTCTCTCATTTAAAGTACCCATTTTATAAATAAATTGGCAATTCTGCCCTTCTTATCTTATGCGCAGCTTCACAAAGAAACCAGTAAATAAAACTGTCAAGGACAGTTATAACAAATGATCTCACAGCAAGATATAAAACCTGAAGATATTAAAAAAGGATGCATCTATTTTACATTAAAAGACAGATTTAAAAAGTGCAAGGCAAGAACTGCAGTTTTCTTGTTGAGGCACATCCACTTCTTTAAAGCAAGCTTCAGAGTGAAATTCCAGTTTTTTCTTCTTCATGATACCTGTTCTGAAGTCTTTACCAAAAGACATACAACATCTTCTCAAATTCAAGGTAAGAAATGTCATTTCTTGTCCAATTGAATTTTTAGTTATGTCTGCTTCTTCCTTTTTTTATCCTAGCAGGTTTTGGTTTAGGAATATATTGATTATTTGCTTGATATTCCAGTTCTTTCCGAAAATAATGAATGGCTTTATTTAAACCTTCTTCCAACGGAACCTGTTCCGGAGAGAAAGAGAAAGAGAGAGGATTATCCCTGCTTACAGAATATGTGGTGCTTATTTGCAGTACTAAAACTCTGCTTCCTAAAACTTTGCTCCTCAATTCATGGAAATATTCATGGAAGTTTGCTTGTTTTCCAATTTGATGACATTGGAAGTAGCAAAAAACTAGATATTTCTGAGGAAGAAATAGAGATGTACATATTTTGTTTCAGTATTTTTATTGAAATGGTTTTTAGAGTTTCTCCTGAGTTTAATTAATTTGTTTTACATAAAGGATCAAGGGACATTAAAAAAAAAACACGCTTCTATCTCCTGTCCCCAAAAGGAAGCACACCACAGAATAAATTACAACGATTTGCCTTAAATGATATGAAATAAATAATGTTGCATTTTGAAATTACAATACCATTGATAAGACATTACGTACCACAGGTTCCCAACCAAGCAATAATTTGGCTTTCTTGATATCTGGCTTCCTTTTTTGAGGATCATCTTGAGCTTCTGAGAGAAATTGGATTTCACTCCCACTGCCTGTAAACACATTTTATAATTAGGCATATTGTTGAGTTGATTGCTGTTACAATTTCAGTTTCTGCAGAGATAATTTCCTTCTGCAAGGCATTCCACATCCATAATGACACAGGTGGTCTCGACTTGCAACTGTAAGTCAGGCTGGCAATCACAGTTCTAAGTCATGATCAGAGTGGTATTCTACCAGTTCGGCCCGATTCTGGTGTACTGGTAGTGCTGAAGATTGGTGGAGACCGAACCAGTTCTTTCTGAGGAGCTGCTGGAGCTGCTGTTGGGCCCACCCACCTGCTCGCCCGGGCTCCCATAGGGACCTTTATTCCCTGCTTTTGAAGTGCAGCTGCTTTGCGCGGCACAGCAGATTGCTGCGCATCAGCTGCTGAAGTGACAGGGAGAGTGCAGGATTGCAGGAGGTGAGTCGCAAAGCCTCTGCACCTGCAAAGTGCATGTTTGGCACATGCGCATGTTCAAAGTATGTGCGTGCACATAAAGTGCGCCCACCGAACCAGTGGTAAACTATTTTGAAACCCACCACTGGACATGATGTTCATAACATGAGTTATCACATGACTGATCCAGTGGTTAAGTGAAACCATTGTTTGCTATAGCCCAGTTTTTGCCAGAAATTAGAAGTAAACACCAGTTTCCGACAAAACTGTCCTAAATCATGGTCATGTGACCACAGGGTTTAGTGCAAATACTATCCAATTGCCAAACACCCAAATTTGGTAATGTAACTGTGGAGGTATCAAGCGCTAGGGAAATCAAGAGATTCAGGCAGTTCAAATAAGTATGAAGATTGATTGCAAGCTTAAGCTCTCTACAAGAATCTGACCAATCAGCAGTCAAGTGAAATGAGTGGGAAATAAGAAAGGCATTCAAGGTGGGCTGGACTTAGATCTCTTGTGGGCGCGCAGAGACTCATTTGACTGCTCCCTTGGGCCCAGTCTGGTCATCTACAGGAGGCTGACATCAGAACTTTGAAACTGGGTTGTAAATACCTTTTGGGAGCTCTGTGATAATTTTGAAGAGTTGTTAAGCAACCAATCATAAGTCAAAAACTATACAATACATTGTACACATACTGAGTGCACATGGACCACAGAAGTTTTAGTATTTATAGGCCTATAATTTTTATTTCATTTTTTCAGTTAATTATTATTACATCTTCATTGGGTTTTCTAATAGCAGCTCCAAATTAAATCATCTGAACTTACTTATTAAATTGATTACCTTCCATGTAACAATCAATAGGAGACACATATCACCAAGCTCTATATTTTCTTTACAAAGCAATTTAAACATACTTACCCACAAGCTTTTTAATTAACTGGGCAAATTCTAGAATAGAATGTTCCTCTGGATTCCCCTAGAGATACAACTATTATTAAAATAATGTTTATAATACAATAGTTATAGTATACTAGTATTGTATAGCACGATAGTACAAATTCATTATTTAAGTACAATAGGTACGAGTTTTGATCTTCCATAAAGAGTTATTTCCTGAATACTCATTCTGTTCGCTAACAAACTGCAAAATATGTTCCCAATTGCGGAATTCTCTGTTCCCAAATGGAATCTACCACAGGAATTCCTAAAGGAAAAGAATGATCCAAAGACTAGAATCCTTGTTCTAGCAGAAATTCCTATTGTTTTCACACTACTCTTGAGGGCAAACATAAGGAAATGCATTTTACATCTCAGATCATACTACGTTCAGTAGAGACCTCAATGGTTTTAATTACTTTCTGATTTAGCAACAAAATCTCAAAGAGATGAAATATTATGAGGCAGGAATATAATGACAAAAGCAGCACACCGGATGCAGAAATTTATTTAAAAATGGATTTATAAAATGGGGTCTATGCAAAGGCCTTATTTGCAGATATAATATAGAACTCACTGCATTTAAAAATTGCACCATGCTACTTTGTCCTCATATGGTGCTCATCTTTTTAATAACAATGAGAAGCAGGAGGAGGTATCAATGATGGTGATGGGTCTATTGCAATTTTCAGATCAGGACAATACCAAACGCTATGTCCCAGCACTGACTGATTCCATGCATTCTGAATTTGGGGGTGCTATTTTATTTCCATACTACTTTACTCAATTTCCCCTTAAGGTTTATAACAACAAGAGTGTTTTGTTTACCAAGTTAACAGGACTGCTAACGTTGCTATTCATTAAGGCCACGAGCCCATTCACAAGGTCACTGGGAAAAAAAAAAGATAGAACAATATGAGCGGAGAGTTATTTCCTGATTTATTTATGGTCTGGCCTTGCAAAGTGCTGATGCTAAGGAAAAATTATTCTCTTGGGGGATATTTTGCTGTAAGCAGTGGCATGGGGTGGGGGTAGCAGTCAATGGGACCGAGACTGATAAAGTCCTGTCCCTTTTATACATGCAATACCACATGATCTTCACCATTGGGATGAAACAGGAAGCTTTTGCTGGTACCCATGAACAGAAGCTAAAACAAGTGAACCACAGCAACTTACACTGAATAGACATGAAGGGATGGAGCAAAACATTTCCGCCTAAACAATTTTCACAAAAGACCAATTGAGACAATGGGATGAATGAGTTATCAGGGTGTCAGGTTTAGGTGCAGAACATAATAAAACTTTAAAATCAGGGTAGGGAACTTTTATTAGACTGAAAACTGGAGTTGGTTTTGAGTGGTACATCGTGGCCCACATTTTAATCACCAATGTGGTCAATTCAAGAGACAGGTGAATTAAAAGTAGTTAATTGGATTGTTTCTTTTGGCATGAATTATGTAAATTAAACAATGACATTTAC